AGGCTTTGTCATCTTCTCCATCCTTGGCTTCATGGCCAACCACCTGGGCGTGGACGTCTCCAATGTGGCTGACCACGGCCCCGGCCTGGCCTTTGTGGCGTACCCTGAGGCCCTCACCTTGCTGCCCATCTCGCCCCTCTGGTCCATTCTCTTCTTCTTCATGCTCATCCTCCTGGGCCTGGGTACTCAGGTAGGGCCACGGCAGTGGGAGTGTGGTGGGGCCAGTAGTATGGTGAGACTGGGCTGATGTGCTGCTCCCTCCACCCTGCCGCGCAGTTCTGCCTGCTGGAGACACTGGTCACGGCCATCGTGGATGAGGTGGGCAACGAGTGGATCATCCGCAGGAAGACCTTTGTGACGCTCGGCGTGGCCGTGGCAGGCTTCCTGCTGGGCGTCCCACTCACCACACAGGTAGGGAGCTGGCGGGGGCACAGCCACTGCTGGCAGCAGACTGCGGGGGGCATGCTGTTGCCGTGACAACTCCAGCAGTCATGTGTTGCAATGCCAGCACTGTCAGTCTGGTCCATCTTGTTGTCATGACAACCTCCAGTGGTGCTGGTGGTACCTGGAGCCTGAAGTTGCTGTGCCAACCATGGTAGTGGTATCCAGGCTAGGTGTTGCCATGCTGATCCTGGCAATGTGGTGTTGCCATACCAATGCTTGTTGTGGTGCCCATACTGTTGCCACGTCAGTCTTGGCAGTGGGGTGTTGCCATGCTAACCAACACTGTCAGCTGTGGCTGCATTGTTGCCATGACAGTCCCAGGTGGTGGTGGTGGTGCTGCTGCTGCTGCCCAGGGCCTGGCCCTGCCATCCCACCCCTGCCATTAGGTGTCGGCATGCTGACCATGATGGTGGTATCCAGGCTAAGTGTTGCCGTGCCGACCCTGGCACTGGCTGTTGTCATGCCATCCCTGGCAGTGGTGCTTGTGCTGTTGCCATGCCGACAGCACCGTGCCAGGCTGGGGCAGCCATGCCGACAGCTCCCTCCCACAGGCGGGGATCTACTGGCTCCTGCTGATGGACAATTACGCTGCCAGCTTCTCCCTGGTCATCATCTCCTGCATCATGTGTGTGGCCATCATGTACATCTACGGTAGGTGCCCCATGCACAACCAGTCAGGTGGCAGGGCTACCCTAGCCAACCAATCAGGAACAGGGGCATGCCAACTTCTGGCCGGTCAGCAGCTTGCTGCGTTCTGACTGGCTGAGGCACATAAGGCTGTTAGCCAATCGGATTAGCAGGGGCGCAGCACCTGGGATTGGGGTATCCTCGGTGTTGGGTCTCCCTGCCTGGGGGGTGTCCAGGGGGTCAGGTCAGTGGGTGCTGGAATCCACCCCCCCAGGCCCAGCCGGACCATGGCAGAGGCTAACAGCTACTCCATCCCCACAGGGCACCGCAACTACTTCAAGGACATTGAGATGATGTTGGGCTTCCCACCCCCGATCTTCTTCCAGATCTGCTGGCGTTTCATCTCACCTGCCATCATCTTTGTGAGCATTGCATCCGCGGGGCCCAGGCCCATGGGACAAGGGGAAGGGAGCCCACCTGCTGCCTCCCCCGACTTCTGCCACCCTGGGGTGGGGGCACCGGGCCGGGCAGGTAGTAGGGATGGGGCAGAGCGGGGTGTTGGCGGGGGGCGGGCTGCTCCCCGCTGGCTGATCCCACCTGTCCCTCCCCAGTTCATCCTGGTCTTCACAGTGATCCAGTACCGGCCCATCTCCTACAACGACTACGTCTACCCTACCTGGGCCATCAGCATCGGTTTCCTCATGGCGCTCTCCTCCGTGATCTGCATCCCCATCTACGCCATCTACAAAGTGTGCCGCTCCGAGGGAGACACACTGATGGAGGTTGGTGGCCCAGGGGCCAGCCCCCTGTATCCTAGCCCCCGTGTATCCTCCCCGGGCATCCCCACAAGCCTGTCACCACCCTCTGCACCCCACTGGGGCTATCAGCATCCCACAATGGGTGCTACATGGAGACAGCATCCATGGGGCAGCCCATTGCTGGAACACCTGGGGGCTGCTGGCATGGGTGGAGGGCTGGGGCAGGGGAGCACAATGGGTGCTAACCCTCTTCCCTAATCTCCCTCTCTCTAGCGTTTGAAAAATGCCACCAAGGCAAGCAAGGACTGGGGCCCGGCGCTGGCAGAGCACCGCAGCGGGCGCTACGCCCCGGCATTCAGCCCCTCCACCGAGTGCCACCTGGAGGTGCAGCCTCTGCACCCAGAGAAGGCCCGGAGCGAGGCTGGAGCTG